TATATAACAACCTGTGATGGTTGCGTTCCAAATATCTTACTGTCTTCCGATCTTGAACATTTAATCGTTGGAATGGTATACTAGGCTTAAGGTGTAAATGTATAGTGTAGTCGGTGGTGGTGATATCCAGAAGAGTAAATTCCTTAACTTCGAATTTAGAGTTGACGTAAAACACTTGAACGTCTACAACCGCACTTCTGAACTTCATATTGAAATCTAATATGTATATGAACTCATGTTGGAATTTATTCATTTATAAATACCTCCCCACTCAAACTCATGTTAAAACTTAATTTATAATTATAGACACCTCACCACTCAAAGGTTTGTATGTGTACATGGATTCTTGAAGTAGTATACAGTATGCTTTAGTATCAAGTGGAAAATCTTTACTGCTTTGTATTTCGATCCGCACCTCACATGATGCGGATGGTCGTTTAAAACCGGTCGGATAAAACAGATCGGTTAAAACCGGTCGGATAAAACAGATCGGTTAAAACCGGTCGGATAAAACAGATCGGTTAAAACCGGTCGGATAAAACAGATCGGTTAAAACCGGTCGGATAAAACAGATCGGTTAAAACCGGTCGGATAAAACAGATCGGTTAAAACCGGTCGGATAAAACAGATCGGTTAAAACCGGTCGGATAAAACAGATCGGTTAAAACCGGTCGGATAAAACAGATCGGTTAAAACCGGTCGGATAAAACAGATCGGTTAAAACCGGTCGGATAAAACGGATCGGTTAAAACCGGGCTTTTTACTCTAGTCCGTCGTACAACTCCTTCCGTTGTATTTAAAACAGGTGCAATTTTTTGACGATACTTGTCCGACTTGTCACCCATAATTTGTTTTAAATCAAATTAAAACGCAAATTAAATTGGTTTAATATAACGCTAACTTACATAAAAAACTTTAAAATATGTTAATAACATTGCAATAAAAATGTATTTTAAATTTCTATTAGCATAGTTACATAAATCGAAGTGTGACGTAAATTCAAGAAAATAAAATACATAATATATTATTATTTGTATTAAATAACAACTTTATTTTAAATTGCGTTAACGCTAACTTAAAAATATGCAAATAATCTTGTACTAAAATGTGTTTTAAATCTTTTGTGGCTCAGTTTATTATTTAATTGTAAATTTAAATCATATTTACCTCAGTTGTCCATTCAAAATTGAAGTGTTCATATCACCGTCATAATGTATTGAACCGACTTCCGTCTTCATTTGAAGCAGTGCTTAAACGCAAATTTCCCAGAGGAAATTGTCCAGCTCGATTTCGTACTTCTAGGAATAGAAGACTTCGACGGTGATAAGATGAACGATTCGCAATTTGTACAGTTTTGTGAATTTCACAATAATATATGGAGAGTTTATGGAAAGGATGATATTCTGTATGTTGGTAGTGATGATGACTTTGAAAATCATCAAAAATTTAAAGATTTCTTAAAATATAATAGATACTTTCCCGATAGCGAATCAGCTAAATTAATTATTGATGGTGATATTAATTTAACCGGTTTTGAATATATTAACGATTGTTATTACAATTATAACTACTGGCATGTGTATCGTAATGCAAATACTATATTTGTTAATTTTACTGATTATTAAATTTTATGTTTGTTAAATTGCGTATAAACGTTTATGTTGTTATTGATTACCGCGCAACTCGCATTCTAAAATGTTTCAAGGTTTTTTCGATGGTATATAAACGGTTAAAATTTTCATATGGAACACAGTTACTACCGTTACTATCTTCTATTACTACTCACATCGCTCGCTCACTTTATAAAAGCTATTAGTATGTCACGTTTAAGTCAAGTAGGTTAGTGTCAATTTTCCCCGAAGAAAAATATATCCGAATTAGAGATGAATAAAATGTATGTGATTAAGTCTGCGAAGCGGATTACATCATGCGCATGGCCATCAGTTGTCGTAGATTTGGAGGATGGATTCTCCGTTTTCTTACCTAAACGCATCGCAGAGGTGATTACGGATGGTGAAATTACTGAGCTAGGAGGTATGAGCTTAATATTCAAAGGAGTAAAAGATGTCGGAAAAGGGAATCCAGCCCATCTCATCGATTTAGTAAAAAACGTAAAATAAATAAATGTTCTTATCGACTTTATAAAAGAAACGTTAGAAAGTAAAATGTTAATAATTTTTTTTGTAAAACGTAAAATAAATGTTCCCATCGAGTTTGTAAAAAAACGTTAGAAAGTAAAATGTTCATAAAAATGTTTAAATAAATTTTTTTTAAACATTTTGTAACTATACTATTGTTTTTGATTCTCTTTTCTAATAATTAAGACTGCGAAGCAAATATTAATAAAATTTTTAAGTTTTTTATTTCTTTTTTGTTCTGTTCAACTGCTAAGCATTAAACTGGAAAGGTTTCGGTGGTTTATTGACTTTAAAGTTTCTAGATTTCTCCTTGCAGCTATCAGTTCAATTCTATCCAAGTCTATCCACCATGCGAGTTCCACCATCCACCACCAGGTGGAGCCCCATGATGCTAGTTCCACCATCCACCGTTCTTAATTCCATAACGTCGCATGAATTTTTAAAAATTTACGCGCGCCATCTATCGCCCATTAAACCCCCGCTTAACTGTCCACCGCTAGGTGGGCGCGCGTCGTCTATCCACCATGCGAGTTCCACCGCCAGGTGGAGCACCATGACGCTACTTCCACCTTCCACCGCTAGATGGCGTCCCATGAAGTAGGCAACCAACATAGCGTTAGTTCCACCACCCACCGCCAGGTTAGTTCCGCTATCCGCCGCTAGGTGCGCGCGTCGTCTATCCACCATGCGAGTTCCACCATCCACCGCCAGGTGGAGCCCCATGATGCTAGTTCCACCAGCCACCACTCTTAATTCTATAACGTCGCATGAATTTTTAAAAATTTACGCGCGTCATCTATCGCTCATCAGGCCCCCCCCCGCTTAACTATCCACCGCGGTTTGGCGTTACTTCCACCATCCACCGCTAGGTGGCGTCCCGTGAAGTAGGTAACTAACATAGCGTTAGTTCCACCACCCACCGCTAGGTAGCGCCTCACGACGTAGGCAACCAACATGACATGTTTTTTAGTTTCACTACACACCACCAGATGGCGCCACATGCATTTCAAATTTCCCGCGCTGTGACGTCGCTTCTTGCGCGCGCATGCGCAGACGTCACAGGGGGATTAGGGGGATTAACTTCCGGTCGGGAACTCTCGTTTTTATACTACTTATACGTAAGTAATAATGTTGTTGTCCAGCAAACGTGAAGCAACACAATAAAAAAACAAAAGAATTGTTGGCGTACCAAAAAAAAACGTTGAAATAAATGACCAAAACAAGTACGCAAAAAGAAAATAATAAATTTGAATTGAATTAGGCGCACGACCCGTACCCCTGATATCAGTGTGGCGTCGAGAAAGAAATTAAAAACTAAATCGTGAAACAAAAAAAATGTACGCCAAAATTTTACTTGGAAAAATAAAAAAAATTATTTTGTTTGATTTAACTGACAACAAAATACTGAATATTTTCAATTTATGATAATTTTATAATATATATAAAATATATTTAATTATATTTAATTAATTTATTTGATTTAAGATTTAATGAATTTAATTTAAATTGTACTCAATTGAACAAAAGTTCACCGGGAAGCGGTATATAAAACAAACGTTTAGGTCTGACCTTGTCTTGACCATGTGTAGACGATCCAAGCAAATTCTTCCAGCTCCAGCGACAATCTCCTCCGATTCAGGGAAAGGAAAACTTAATGGGTAGTGGTAATGTAACTGCGACCAAAATCCTCAAGGAAGAACTCCCCCGAAAAGGTAGAACTTCGAAAATGGATTGAAAATCTCACAAAATAACCAAACTTCTGTTTCGAAAATGTTACAGAAAGGTTGCCAAAATTTATGCTCTTCAATTAAAACCTTAAATGAACACGAGGAAATTAGAAAAAAAAAAAAATATAAAATAAAAGTAGAAAGGATGGAAAAATAAGATATAAAAAAAAATGATAATAATTTAATTTGGTGGTAAAAGGATGTATGTTTGAATAAATGAATATGTAAGGAAAAATATAAAATATATTTAAATTAATAAAAATATCGTACCTCAGATCTTCGAGGTTTAGTCAGAAAAACTTAGAAAAGTTTCAAAATACGGTTTAATCCGGAATAATCCGATAATTGGACGTGCAAAAATGTTACCAATAAATTGCACAACACGTAGATGAATCCCAAAAATTTGGATTAGGAACCAATCACCACGCGAAAAATTAAAAATGGCTTTACCAAAAATCCTAACTCTACGTGCGTACACGTACTGGTCTGACTTGAAAAGAGGAAGAGAAAATCTTACATAGACGCTAAATATCCTCAAAAATTCACAAAAAATAGATACTTGCGTTCAAGCAAGAATAACGAAAGAATTAACACCATCTTTTAGGGGAAACGAAGAAGTAAAATAAGTTTAGAGGAAAATAAATTGAAAAGGAAAAACTAAAATCATGAAAGCAGTTCTTCGGAGAATTGTCGCTGAAAAAGAAAAATTAATTAAACAAAAAATTTAACAAAATAAACAAAAAGTAAACAATATAAATCATCGCGAAATTTGTGCAACTCAAAATACTCGATAACAAAATTAAACATCTAACCCAAAATAAAATTAAAACAAAGAATTAGGAAAGTAAAGGTTAAACAGACAAATGAAACATTAAGGAAAAATACAACCGTAACAATGTTCATAAATTTTTTTGTACCCTTCAACAAGACGGGAAACTTTCTAAAAATGCCGTTTCTCTTTTTTTTTCCTCCAACATGAAAGTTCTCTTCACGTTTATACGTGCTAACTTTTTTCTTTTATTTTTTGCTGGTGGGGCATCTTTTGTGTGCATCTCTACTTAAGGAGTAGATTTGTTTCTCTACGGTCAGTTTGATTGTAACAGCAGAACAGTATTAATTTTCAAGTTGTTACAAAATGGCCAGCACAAATAGTAAATTTATATGTGAGGGATGCGGGCGGTCGTTTGAGCACTGTAATGACTGCGAGCAATTCTTCAACACTCAATCGAATGCTACCGAATACCTTTGCAAGGGATGTGGAGTTCCGTTCGAGCAATGTGAGCAGTGTAATCTATCGTTCAACTCCCAAGAAATATGTGAAGCATCAAATAGAAGAGCTCCTAAAAGAGTTGATGAGCAACAGCAGCAGCAACAACAATATGTCTGCGACCAATGTCACTTGATGTTCCAGAGCGCGGCGAGACTGGCAGGGCACAGGCGAAGTCATCATCGTGAGCAAATCGGGACGTTGCAGGGTGGCATCCAGCAGCTGGCGACGTGTTTTCAAGGAAGCGTAGCCCGTTACAAAATGTTTGGAAGCCACTTCGAATGACATTCCAACCTATCTCCAGCGGTGTCGGGCGGACGTCTTCAAGCTGATCGTTGATTCACAAGGTAAACATGGCTCAATTAAGGTACAATTAGAATTATTCGCAACCTTTGTGAAATCGGAGACGGTGCGAGATGGGGTGGTGAGGATGTTGATAATGTCACGTACTCTATGAAAAATTTTAATACAAAATTCAGAGTCGTGACAATATCAACTAAGTTAGATGGGGTGTATCAGTTAATGGCTAACGACATCGTTAAGCAAAGTGAAGAGTTCCAGGAGAGAGATAGCGGATGGGCGTTTTTCTCCATCTCTCACTTGGAGCTGAACATCAACAAGTACTCTCCGTTAGCCGGGAACTCATACATCCCACTACCGATACCAATAATGAGAAAGAAGGCATGCGTTAATATCCGAAATGATGATAACGCATGTTTAGCGTGGAGCTTAACTGCCGCACTTCACCCAGCTCGCCAAAATAGAAATCGCACCACGAGTTATCCCCATTATTCCGAGGTCTTAAACTTAAATGGAATTGACTTTCCCATAAAGTTAACTGATCTCACAAAGATCGAGCAAACAAATAATCTCAGCATTAATGTATACGAGTTATGTGAGCGGACTAAAGGGATATTTGCGGTAGATGGGCCAATTTATTTTACAAGAAAAAGAGTGAAGAGACGTCATATTAATTTACTCTATATTTTTAAAGGTGGCAGAGGTCACTATGTATTAATTAGCAATCTTTCTCGGCTAATTTCCAATCAGGTCAGTGCTCGTAATGTTGCGGTTCACCTTTGTGATGGTTGCCTCCACTCTTTTAAAAAGCGATAATGATTTGCAAAGGCACTGTAAGTATGATTGTAGGCATATCCATGCGGAATTGCCGACCAACAAACCTAAACGTAATTGTTTTGGTGAATTAATGCCAGGAAATATTTTAAGTTTTCAAAATTTCAAAAACACCTTCTGTTGTTTATGCCGACTTCGAGTCCCTTTTACAGCCCATCCCCCACTGTGAACATAATCAAGCTGAATCGTTTACGACTAAAACCCATAGACATATACCATGCAGTTTCGCCTATCAAATAATCTGCGCGTTTGATTCAAAGTTCAATAAATTTGTTACATATGCGGGGCAGGATTGCGTTAATGTGTTTATTGAACGGCTAATACGACACTAAGTTAATTTATGATAATCATTATAAAAATATTGTTCCAATGCACCCACTGTCACAGGCTGAACAGCTACTTTACGATACATCATTAAATTGTCATATTTGTAAAAAAAACATTCGATAATAGTACTGGTGATAATCGTAAAGTACCTGATCATTGTCACATTACTGGAAATTTCAGAGGCCTTGCCCACTCTAAATGTAACCTCAACTTCAAAATTCCCTCTATCCTACCAATTTTTTTCCACAATTTATCTGGATATAACTGCCACCTTTTTATCAAACAAATTGCTGACATAGATTGTGAGGGTTTAGATGCCATACCCAATAATAAAGAAAAATATATAAGTTTTTCCAAGTCAGTTTTGGTTGATAACGAAGGTGACAGACGAAAATATCTTACATTAAGCGTAATGTAGTCGAGGAAGCGTCCTCGACTCCTTCCGCTTCATGGCCTCTTCTCTAGATAGTTTGTCTAGTAATCTAAGCAAATGTGACTATAGTCATGTTAAACAATCTTTCCCCGCACACGATCAATTTAAATTAGTTACACGAAAAGGAGTATTTCCTTACGAGTACATAGACTCATTTTATAGGCTGAATGAAACTGCTCTACCACCTAAGGTTGTTTTTCTACAATAAAATGTCCGATGAAAATATAACTGAAGAGCAGTATATGCATGCAGTAAACGTTTGGAATAATTTTTCTTGTAAAACATTATTAGATTATTCAAACGTTTACTTAAAAACAGATGTGATATTGCTATCGGACGTTTTCGAAAAATTCAGGAAAGTTTTCCATAATTATTATAACCTCGATCCCGCCCACTATTTTACTGCTCCTGGTCTTTCGTGGGATGCCATGCTCAATAAAAATGCCCGAAAATGTCCGCAAATTATTTAGCATATTGGGATGTTGATAATTTGTATGGGTGGGCGATGTCTCAATATTTACCAATAAGTAACTTCAAGTGGATGAGTGAAATGGGAATAGAAAATTTTAATATTGGTAATATTGATGACAATTCGGATGATGGTTATACAGGGTGATTCATAAGTAATGGGCCAAATTGTAAATGTACGTTCAGGAGGCCAAAATAATAATATTTTCATTAACAATAATGGGTCTTAGTCTGCTCCTTACTGAGATACAGGATGTTAAAGCGAAAAAAATAAAATAGATTTTTGTTAATAGATCAGCTACTTTTCTACATAATGACTCATAGTTGACTTATAGTTTTTGTAAGGGTAAACAATAATGTGTGAGAGGATTTGAGTTAACTCGTAGATGTCGCCACATGCGCCATATGAATTATGAAACGTCAATGAGCTTTTACGTTTAATGAATAGTTTAAAACATTTTATTGTTAAGTAAACTGATTCATTCTTGTCCTAACATAAATCAAAATGCCGAGACATAATCACTTTTCAAACGAAGAAATGAGAGACATGTTATGCGTTTACGCACAAGAACGTTTTTCTGGGCAAGCAGCATCCAGAAAATATCGTGAAATGTACCCTTACAGAAGGCAGCCAAACCGGAAGATATTTCAAAATATTTATAATCGATTGGGTGAAACAGGTTCATTTCGTCCAAAATATCATACAGGACGTCCTAAGATTATCACTCCGCAGCAAGAAGATGAAATTTTGGTAAGAATTGCGCAAAATTCTGAAATAAGCACTCGTCGATTGTCTGCAGCAACTGGAATAAGCCAACCATCCGTGACTAGAATTTTACACAAGGAAAATTTATATCCCTATCATTTTATACCTGTGCAAAATTTACTTCCAACAGATTATCGAATCAGAGTTCAATTTTGTCAGTGGCTAAAAGGAAAATTGAATAATAATCCAACATTCCTAAATAACATTCTTTTCACGGATGAAGCAACCTTTACCAGACGCGGAGTTTTTAATTGGCGAAATAGTCATGCCTGGGAAACCGAAAACCCTCGTTTAAAAAAAGATAGACATTTCCAGCACGAGTTTAAAATAAATGTGTGGTGCGGTGTAATAGGCAATACATTACTGGGCCCAGTTGAATTACCTCCTAATTTAAATGGAGAGTCATATTTAATTTTTTTAAATAATGACTTAGTCGACCTCTTGGGAGATCTTCCATTACAACTAAGAAGAAATATGTGGTTCATGCAAGACGGTGCTCCTCCACATTTTTCACGTGCTGTGCGCGAACATCTGAATGAAACATTCCCTCACCGTTGGATTGGACGTGGTAGTGAATTTCAGTGGCCACCTCGCAGTCCCGATTTTAATCCACTTGATTTTTATGTGTGGGGTTACATGAAATCAATGGTCTATGCTGAACCTACTATAAATACACGAGACGAGTTATGGAATAGAATTCAAGATGCAGCCAATTCAATACGAAATAATCCTGCTACATTTTTTAAAGTCAGACAATCCTTAACCAAACGGTTAAATGCGTGTATAAATGCTGGTGGTGGTCATGTTGAAAACCTTTTGCAGTAGCTCATAATTAAGCTTAAATTTAATTTAACTTCGCACAACATTAACATGTAGGTTTTGATAACAGTTGTCGTAAGTGGTCTTAGTTCAAGTCTGTTCTAATGTTGTATTTCGTTTTATTAACTGGCGTACAATAAATTGTTTTATTACGTAATTTTTTTATGGTTTCAGTTTAATATTGTTATCAATTATCAATTACGGTTAGGTAAATGTCAACATTCCATGCCATGCTTGTGTCTTAACAGATTAATGCTACGTCGACCACCGTGAAATGTAGTGTAGTGAATTAGTAAAATTCAAATATCTCGAAAATCGTTAATATTTTCAAGATCAAAGAAGTATAGCTTTTTTCTACAGAAATGATGGGGCTATCCAAATTAAACAAGTATGTTGTAAAATAATGAGCGATAAAAAATTTGTAGCTGATTTCATCTAATTCATATGGCGCATGTGGCGACATCTACGAGTTAACTCAAATCCTCTCACACATTATTGTTTACCCTTACAAAAACTATAAGTCAACTATGAGTCATTATGTAGAAAAGTAGCTGATCTATTAACAAAAATCTATTTTATTTTTTTCGCTTTAACATCCTGTATCTCAGTAAGGAGCAGACTAAGACCCATTATTGTTAAAGAAAATATTATTATTTTGGCCTCCTGAACGTACAATTACAATTTGGCCCATTACTTATGAATCACCCTGTATATACTTCGCCCCGATTACCAACCTTTATAATTCGCCCCAGGAGATTTATTAGCACGTATAAAAAAATACATAAACCTTATTTTTGGCCACACTATCACTGTACCAAATTTCAACAAAATCGGTGAGGGACAGTTCTGATACTTCCATTGTAAGTAATAAAATATGGGGGGTGCCATTTAAAAAAATGAAGTTATGGTACTTCCAAGTCCTCGAAAAGTAAACGTGCCATAGTAAAGTTACCAAACGCTCTAGACAGCCGTACTCTGCACCAAAACATACTCCATCATGTTGCTTAAGCATGTTCTGAATACTAAATTGATATTCCAAAAATCGAGTGATCTCTGATTTTTTGAACAAATGTCTGCTGGAGCAGATTTCTCTAGAAAAATTCGAATAACTCGAGAAAGGCAGAATAAAATTGCAAAACGTAAAGTTATTCATAAACCTAGAAAACAGTCAAATCCAAATATATAAAGATATACAGGATGTTCCATTTAAAAAAATAAAGTAGGTGGCGATTTCCGGTATAATCGAAAATGCTAGAAATCTGAAAATATTTTAGTCGAAGAGAACGCAATTGATAATAATTAAATCTAAATTTTCAAATTTTTATTTTGGCCAGAACC